GTGAGCCGGCGTGAGATCGAAGTTTTCAACCCGCAGGCGTGAGACTCACGCCTAAGGCGTGAGAGTTGGCAGGTATATAGTCAAATGAATGCTGGAGGAATCATAACCTTGGTTTGCCCAGGCTTCACCAAGTCATCATATCATTTTGTCAGGCACAGGAATCATAACCCTGGTTTTTAAAGGCTTTATGAAATCATTTAGTTCTGCTACTTAGATTTCAGGATAATTTCATTGCATCTTACTTCCGCGGTCTGCAGTTCCGCAGATCAACCCTTGAAAGTTTCTGGTAGGATAGATCGTGATTCAACTGGTTTTTTTTAACCAATGTGCATTGAAAGTATAAAGTATGGAAGTTTATAAATAACTTCTCTGCAATATGTGCTTACCTATTCTGTATTGTGATGAAACTCATCTGTACGCTTTTCATCCAAGAACAATTTGAGTTTTTCTGAAATGCACATTATTTTCTATTTTCCGCCATTTTGAGCCTAGTTGGAGTCCAGGTTCCGAACGTAAAACGTTGAATGGTTACCAAGCTTTTCGAAAAGTGATCCCAGAATTCACCTCGTGTTTGTTTGAGAAATGAAAATGGCGGCGGCTAAATGCCACTGAACGTGTGTTTGTGTGACTTTTCTCTTTGGTTGCTCCTGGTTGTAGTCGCTTCAGCAGGTTTTTCGAACTTCTCTGAAAAGGTAAGAACCTCTCCACTAAATAATCTAAGTAAGTACAGTGAAATTATCTTGAAATGTAAGTAGCAGAACCAGTTTGATTCAGAACCCAACTAGTTACAAGTGAAAACGTTTCCTATTTTGCTCAGGCTATGATAAACACAGAAGGGTGCTGGGAGAGTTTGAGACGGTTATGTAAACCTTTGAGACAAGGAAATTACTTAATGAGTTAAACTTCAATTATTTAACTTGTCGAGTATTCAGTGAGCGAAAAAATTGGGATTAACTACCAAAAACATTTTCAACTTTCTTCCATGGTTTTAGGTACTGGCAATAGGCCATTGTACAGTTATGGGTGGAAGCAAGGCTGGAGTTGACCTTGTTTTGATACAAACCTTCCTGCTTTATAATGTAAATCAAGTTATTCTTTTGCTAACTACTATTTTCCAAGAATGATTTCCATAACAAAGTAAAGGAGGTTTGTATCAAAACAAGGTCACCGTCAGCCTCACATTCACTCGAAGGCTAGGATACTAAGTCCACAACTGTAAAATTGTCTATTTGTGCTGGGGATCTGTACACTGAATTGTATTTTCTATGCATACAGTGTTACCGTAAATCCTCTTTAAGCCCCCCTGTCAAATAAGCCCACTCTCTGTAATAAGCCCTCTCCCTTTTCAGGTGAAGAAAGTCAATAAGCCCCCTGTCTTTCATTTATTATTCTTTACTGGTAAATGAGAGACTGTATTAATCAGTCACTGATCCTGGACATTTTTTTCACTAACTGAAAGTTTGGATTTGTTTTTGATTCTTGGCTGCCCTCCAACTTCTTGAACTCGGGCTTTTTTACTTTGTGTTATAGTTCTTTATGAAGAACTGACACCATTGTCTTTGCTAAATTAAATAAGCCCTGGCACCAAATAAGCCCTTGTCTCCCCCCTAAAATGTGTTTGAAATAATTATGCCTCTGTGGGGCTTAACGGAGGATTAGTTTAATCTCTTCCTGAAATTTCTATGAAATTTCTTAGTCTCGTGAAATTTTGCTCAACAAATGTTTGTGAATTAATGAAAACTTTATTTAAGTGTCTATGCTTTTAGCTATAAGCTAATGGAGGACACTGTAAAATGTGTTTTAAATAATATTAAGCCCCTGTGGTACTTAATAGTGGATTAGTTTTATGGTAAGTCTTGACTTCCTGAAATTTCTATGAAACTTCTTAGTCTCGTGAAATTTCTGCTCAACAAATGTTTGTAAATGAATGAATGAAAACTTTATTTAAGTGCCTATGTTTTTAGCTATAAGCTAATGGGGGACACTGTAAAATAATAAATTAAATACCAGATTCAAATCACTAAAAAACTAAAAAATTGCAAGTAGATTATATAATTATTTACAAAATTTGTTAAGAGGCCTAAAAACATCTACATATTTAAAAGAGTTGAAAGGTCAGCTTTCCTAATGTTCCTCTTAAACGAGTTCAGAGTTTCTATCATTCTTAAGTGTCTTGGAAACTTCAACCAAATGAGAGGTCCCATATATTTTATTGAATTCCTACCAAATCTAACAGTTTCAAATCTTGATAGTTCGAAGTGACTATTCCGTAAGAATACTGAGTATTCTTTAAATTAAATAAGTCAGAAATATTCACACATGACTGTACGAGACTGTGCTTAACTTTAAACAACAATGTAACAATGTCCTGTAGACACCTATTGTACAGTGTCGTTACTTAATTTGGCACAGTCTCGCAGTTCTTGATAGCATCCAATTCTGGTTTTGTACAATGCTCTTAGCATCCACTCCTGAATCCACTTGAGTTTTCTCCGATCCAATGCATTGCAAAAGTGCCAGACTAGATTGCAGTAGGTTAGATAAGGCAGAATTGAAGACTTGTAAAGTGATAGTTTAGCATTACAAGCTACCAAGTAGCGTAGCCGCACTAGGACTCCTACTTTTTGACTGGCAAAATTTTTTTTTATCAATTTGAACTCCTAAAAGCTTTATTTCCTCCATTCTCTCAATAGCGTGTCCATCTACGGAAACATTCTGATTATCACTGTCTGTGTCAACATTTCTTGGGTTGTTGTAAGTTAAAGTGGCTGAAACTTTTCTGGGTTGGCTGAGAGATAGTTGTTCTTGTACCAGGATAGAGCTTGCTCACCTTGGGTCTTGATACTTTGCGTGACTACATCATGCTTCTTCCCCAAAACATACATCTGATGGTCTTCAGTGTACATACTTAGATTAGCATTATTTATATGGAATGACATGTCATTTTGGAACAAATTCCACAGAAGGGGACTGGAAGATGATCCCTGTGGACAGCCAAGTACCATCCTTTTCCAGTCACTTGTCACGTCTTTTATTTTCACTCTATTAAGCCTATTATTGAAGTAAAAAAGTTTACAAGTCTTTTCAATTTTTAAGGAAAAAAGTTAAGTGGCAATTTTTTAGCATGATGTTTAATACCTGTTGATAATAAATTTATTTTGATTGTTGATTAAAATGAATCATTGTCGTTAAGTGTGACTTCCTCCAGGAAAACATTCACTAATACTAATGGCTAATGAATGGCATGTTAACCATTTTTAAAGGGTTTCAAAGGTTTGATTCATGGTTTGAATGGGTTAGTGAAAATTTCTAATGGCTTTGGAAAGTGCTGGAACAGATTGCTATAATTTTTGGAATGGTTTGCTGAACAGGTTAACTAAACCACATTTAAACTGCTTGCGTTGTTGTTTGATTTTTTTGTTGCTATAAATTTTCCTTATTTCTCCATCAGACATGTGTTATATTTGAAATGGTCACAGAAATTGCCTTTCAATCTTGAGGTGATGAACACCACAAACTCCTTGCAGGTGAACACTTCAGAGGTAGGTTGCGCCCTCTTGGGGCTTATAGTAATTTTTGTAACTTTTTGGGGTAACATTTTTGTCTTCTTTTGTATTAAAGTTCTTGAGGGTAAACCACAAAAATACAGCATTTTTACTTCTTGTTGTGGCTTAGGTGTTTTGTGGCACAACAACTTCTTGCATTACTTCTTGCACGTGCACTATTTTGGGCTGTACTGTACCATGGCCGTACTTTGATGCTTTGAAGGCTTTGGATGCAAAATTCAAATGACTTTTTCTAATTCCTTGAATGAATTTTTCAATGCTCTTAAATTGGACATTGCAACTTTTGTTTGAACGGTTATAATAATCATTATTTTGTAAATGAGTAGCATCCATGTGCATCTGAAGAATTGCAAAGGCTATGGGTACGGTGTTCGCTTACAACCAAAGTTCGAGTGAATATGGATACTTTTTGCATGAATATCAATTAACGCTCCAACCAATTCTTATGAAATTACAACACTAGTATAATTGCAATGTTTACTTAACTTTAGTGGCATTTATGGAGGTAGGAATGGCATAATTCCAAAATATTATAATGCGAATTCACTTGTGTGTTGGACCTCTCAAGCATTACATTAACCTCGCTGAAATGTAAAAATGTTGTTCACTGAGCAACTTACAGCCAAACTTTGTCTGGTTTTTACTCAGTATGACTTGCACATAAAACAAACACTTGTTTCCTATTTTTTCCAGCAGATAACGAAAGTTTTAGACATGTTTGTAGCATGAAAAAATAAAATGATGACTTACCTTTGTCCAACATGGCGAACTCAGAAACGAATGTTTGCTACAGAATCCTTCGTGCAGGATATTGTCCACTCGTTGTCACGCAAGAAAATGTCTTTTCAAGATGCACAATGACCAAAGAATATTTTTCTATAAGCCATTTATCTAATTTTTTTTCTTACCGTACAATATGTTGAGTGTATTTTACTCTGTCTGAATGGCATGTCCAAGGCGGCCATCCCAAGAAGTAATACAGTGCACTTTTTTGGTGCACTAGTGCACCCAAGTGCACTGTTATTAGTATTTCAGTGCACTAGTGCACTGAATACTAAATAGCAAGTGCACTAGTGCACCGAAACAGTGCACTGCTGTTCACCATTTCATACAACACATTTTTGACATGTTGGGAAAGGACAAAGTGTGAATTGTTTAAACTCCATCTAATATACAGCAAAATGCTTTATTTGTAGCTTTCATTTTGTTAACTTATGATCTATTGATTTTGCTTTTCTTTTCCTAGAATTTGAGACAAGGAAAACAGCAACCATTATGCATCAATAACGTAACCCCCAGAAACATAAGAATCTTATCTTAGGAAGTCATATGGGAACAGTACAATGGAAAAACGAAAAATCAACGAACCAAAGCGAGCAGTTAATTTATTGGAACATGGCACTAACAACAATCAGGTGGATCCATGTAAGTGCAAGTATTGTGACAAGTACTTTACCCGACCATCAACTTGCAAGGAACATGAACATACTCATACAGGACTCAAACCTTACCAGTGCAAGTATTGTGACAAGTGCTTTACCCGACAATCAACTTGCAAGGAACATGAACATACTCATACAGGACTCAAACCTTATCAGTGCAAGTATTGTGACAAGTGCTTTACCCGACCATCAACTTGCAAGGAACATGAACATACTCATACAGGACTCATGATGAAACCTTATCAGTGCAAGCATTGTGAAAAGTGCTTTACCCGACCATCAACTTGCAAGGAGCATGAACATACTCATACAGGACTCAAACCTTATCAGTGCAAGCATTGTGAAAAGTGTTTCGCACATCTAGGGAATTGTAAGCAGCATGAAGTTTCACACACAGGAGTGAAACCTTATCACTGCAGGTATTGTGATAAATGTTTTACCGTGAAACAATCTTGCAAGCGACACGAACTTGCACACACAGGAGTGAAACCTTACCAGTGCAAGTATTGTGATAAATGTTTTAATCAATCATCATATTGCAAGCAGCATGAACGCACACACACAGGAGTGAAGCCTTATCAATGCAAGTATTGTGATAAGTGCTTTGCCTACTCATCAAATTGTAAGGAGCATGAACTGATACACACAGGAGTGAAACGTTATCAATGCAAGTATTGTGAAAAATGCTTTATAAAATCATCATCTTGTAAGAGACATGAAATTTCCCACACAGGAGAAAAACCTTATCAGTGCAGGTATTGTAACAAGTGCTTTAACATCTCATCAAATTGTGTGAGACATGAACAAATTCACATTGTGTGATTCCAGGAAATATCCATACCCCTTCCACGGATGGTTCTTCCGATTAGACCCCCCCACCCCCTTGGAATTTCCGTTCCAGAGGAGTCATGTATAACCCCCCACCCCCCAGGAATGTCCTATTTTCCTTGTCATGGCTTTTATTTGCCCCATTTAGACATTATCGACCGTCTACTGCTTAAAATTAACTGTTCTCATCTTAAGACACAGTTTTTTATAATCTTTGACCTATTTGTAATCTTTTACAAGGCAATATGTATTTCTTACGCAGGTAGAGCACGCTTGATAATGACAGTCTCTCTTTTTTATTAGTCCATCCAGCGAAATGTGCAAGGCACGAAAACAGAGATTAATATGTTTATGTCATCTCAAGAAAACATTTACCGCATAACTTCAAATTTGAACTATTCATTGAAATAAAACTATGTGAACATTTTCGAATTTCAAAACAAATCTACTAAAAAACTAACTTACAAGCAAAGTTTAGTGTTAGTGTAAATGTTCGGCCTCGGGTCCTAAAGTCACCACAAAGTCGATGTTTGTAATTAATTTTAACTTTGAAGGAATTACGCTTGCAGTTAAACAAATTTCAGGAATTACAAAAAACCTTATTTGGGTTATAAAAGAACAAACTATGCAAACATTCATTTTGCATCCTATATTTGCATCGATTCATGTTCAGAAATGAAAATCGGTGAAACATGATCTATTTTGTCACCTAGCACGTGATCGAAAGTCTCCTTGACGAAGAAGAAACAGATCGTTAATATTTTTGCGCAAAAGTTGATTTGGCGAGAAGTCTGTTCGACAAACAGCTTGCCTTCAATATTACTTTATTAAAAGTCAATAATAAAATACAGCAAAGCTCTCATTTGGGTCGTCACACAGCGCTTTGTCGCGATGAGCTCCCTGAATGTCAACAGAAATTTGCATAAAGTTGTTTACACCAAGCTCGAGAAATATAGTGCCGAGATAGACGGTGTTTGCTCTCGATTAGCCTAAGTTTTTATCAGACTATTCTGCAATTGAGTCCACAATCTAGATACAGGTTCGACATTATTAATCGATGCGCCACAATTTATTCCTGGAGAAGCAAGGGACCTGTTGAGAATTGCACCGAGAACTGCGATCGCTTTGCCAGAAGGACGATATTTATGTAAAGACTTTGTCAAAGTCAAATGTTGGACGGACGGACCGACCGTTACATCTTTAAGTTTTTTCTCGAAAGGGCATCTATTTCTGATTTTTGTTGTGCTACAAATCAAAATAATCCACATATACTTAGGTATGTCTCGTACGATTGATCGCGTCTGTTACAACCCTGTGGAAAATGTTTCTCGTGGGCACCCCCCATACCCTGCAGAAATTTCTACCCTTTAGCCCCCCCACGCCTTAGGAATTTCCATTCACCATCTGTGGGAGGGGGGGGGTATGGATAATTTTATTTTCTGGAATCACACAGTAAAGGGAAATCTTCTAAAGAAGTTACAAGCCAGTTAAGCATATTTAGCTGTTGGATATGTCAAGAGGAATTAAGTAGTCAGGAGCTTCTTCAGGAACACTATGATAACTACATGAGACCAGAGTGACACAAGGTAACTAAAAGTCATTAAACGAGACATGTTACAAATATAAGTTACCAATTGTATTTTTACCTAAGCTTATGTTACTTGTACACTGTATGTTTGCTGAAGCCTGTTTTGGTGCAAATATCATTTACTTTGGCTGAAATGTTAATCACATAATTTTTTACAAAAAAAATAATATTTGGTGTTGAAAATTTTGTACCATGCTGCTTTATGATCCATAAAATTTATGCTGATTATGATTAATTTTATTAAGCTGACAATTATATATTACAAGTTCAGCCTTTGAAGATGGCTTAAAGAACTCTCAGTAGTTCTTCAAAATTTTGGGTTTTTTCTGCACTGTGAATCAGACTGTTACGATAGCATCCACTGTGTAAAATAAAGATGTCAATAATTGTAAGCTAGCAGAAGCTGCAAATGTAACTGTTGGCAGGACTGTGCCATATCCGTGGATGTTTTGGATTTGGAAACTCTTTAGGAACAATTTCACCTTGGGGATCTAAACGTCCCATGTCTCAGTATAAAGAAGATAAAAAAACTCAGAACTAGATAAAACTTACTGCGCTTTTCAAAAACATGTGACCGAACCATAAAGTTCAGAAGCAACAAACCTTGAAATACAGAAGCACTCAAAAAGGATTGGAAGATACCAATTTCCAATTCTAAAAATTTTGATGTCACTCCTGTTATCTTAGAGGGTACAAAGTGGAGAATTTTTTATTTTTTTATTTTGTTAAATTGCCTGTGATGGTCAATGATAGGCCCTTTGCAGCACTTGATCATTTGCTGGGATACCATTAATTTTAGCAATGCCTCGCTGGATTTCAAGCCATCCAAATGTTTATTCTGATCACAAAGCTTTGAGTGCAATTGAGCAAAGCATTCCCAATTTCATATAATTTTGTTGTCAATTAACTTAAGTGGATGGGGTAGAAGACATAAAAGACCTTGTTAACTAACCAAGGAGGACTTTTTGCAATCACACTCAAAAGATTTGTGATCTCAATGGATTTTTGTGTTGGTGGCTTGCCATCCAGCAAGCTATTTCTAAGTGGTGTCCAAAAATATGACGCAGTTCAGCAAAGGGCTAAGATAATTTATTTCTACTGGAATCTTTTTCAAGTAATTACTCATCAAGCCAATCTTGACTCGTAACTGGGGCTAATATGACGCTGTAAAATCTTCTGCGAGTGTTTTCTGTCCCTAGACAAGTAAGTTATTAGAATATGTCACAACATTATACCTTTTTTACCTGCAAGTCTCCATAATTTTGTCATGCACCCATCTCAGGCTAGCTCATGCTTGTACAGTAATTTCTTATTCCTGGCAAAAAAAAAAAAAATTAATTGGGGCTATCACAGTTTTTGCAATTACCAAAATAACTTACTCCCTATACATGTATATTGTTGTGTGACCCTAAATTCTAAGGGGAGATCATAGAAGAACATTCTTTCTTCAGCATCCTTGATTTTAGAATAGTTTATATATGAGGAGAAATGCAAACCTCTGGAGATCTAAAATCTGGAGACTCTATCTCTTGCACTACCCCTCAAATGTCAACAAACCCTTACCTCACACACCCTCACTGCCCTCACCGCCAAGTCCATTTGATGGGGGGGGGATAATAGTGGTGGGGGGATTATTTCCGAGGGGTGGGCTTATTTAATTTAGAAAAGACAATAGTATCATTTCTTCCGTAAAGAAGTAGGATACAAAATAACTTTCTTCCCCTGAAAATGGGGGACTTAAATTGTGTATGAGAGGGAGGGGGATTATTTGAGAGGAGGCGTAATAGACTGAGGATTTATGGTACTAATAGAATACATTTAGGGTGTTACAAAAACTCAGACCTAAGACCCTGACAACCTCAGAGTCCCGAAAAACTAAGACCCCTGGATATCTTGAAAACTTCCTCAAACATTTATATGATCAGTGATGATATCACAGTGTGATTCAGTTTGACACTGACACTACTGCATCCTTCAGTTTAAAAACTGCAGAGAGTTTTTATATTTGTTTGATGACATAAGAAAAGTCCTAGTGACCTAGAAAACATCTGTGTTCTGGAAATCATCTTATTGTGCCATGACCTTGAATTAATCAATGAATGAATGAATGAATACACAGGTATGATACAACCTGGTTGATTATACACATTGACAGGACATGCCATAGCATCTTGTTGATGTTAAAACCATTTCCTCTTGTTTGTTTGCTGGTTAATGGATAACTTAATGTGTACATCTAGTCACTGTAGCATGATAGTAGCTCTCTCACACACAAGAATAATTCTGCAGCTGACTTGTTTGTTTCAATGGTAACTACATCTTGAGATGGGAGTCTGTTGCTCTGCTATCTAAAAAAAATAACAAAAAGAAAAGAGAGAAAGAGAGGCTGCTTGCTGTCTAAAGGAAGTTAATATAACATTTGAAAACACTGAATAATTTGAGGGTCTGAGTCTTGAGACCAGAAGTCTCAGTTTTTCGGGGGGTCTGTGTTTTTGAGACACCCAATAAATGTCTGATTGACATTAGATACTAATGAAATTATTTGGAATGCATTGTTTTGCATGTATAGAGGCCTTCAAATCTTGTTGTCCTCTAATCCACGATATTACACATTTTTACCAAGCTTATGAGCTCCCTTAGAATTTTATTGCTTAGTCATTTTGTTTAGTCATGTAAATTAGTCTAGCACATTTTTATTTTTTACTGATGCTGTTTTACTTTTTTAGAGCACTGCAAAGCAGTTAGCTCTTAAATGAAATATCCTTAGCCTGAATGTTAGCTTTCTCTTTTAGTCACAAACTCCTGAGAGAGACTATAAGAGTGAGGTTCATAATAGATGCATGGTATTGAAATAATGGTAAATACAAAATATAAATCTGAGAGGTTTCGAGATTTTATTGATTACCGAGGCTCTTGCGGTTTTTCTCTTTCTGAAACCAATACCTTTTTGATGTGATTGTTAAATGAATTAGTATAGGTAATAGCATGATTTGTAGTGATATTTGGCATAAATAGCAAGAGTGATATTTCGAAATTGTTATACGAAATTTCACAAGCCATTAGGCGCGTGAAATTTGAGACAATTTTAAAATATCACGAGTGGTATTTATGCCAAATATCACGTACAAATCATGCTATTATTTGTTTATACTACTACCTCAAAAGGTTTGTAATTTTCACATGTAGGTATTTCAAATTAAGCTGAAATACCACTGCTCTAAGCCAATCAAATTGCAGAAATTTCTCATGTAGAAGTATAAAAATCAAAATTCCAGTCAGAAATAAAAGATTGAAATATTTCAATAGCTGGCATCACTTAAAATAATTACAAAATGTGATTTTTGCATTATGGTGATCATTCAGGGGGTGCACCCATGATTTCAAGTGACGGAAATTAATGATTGCAGATTTTTTTTGGTTTTGAAATACTCGATTCCGGGATTTTTTGGGTAGGAAAGGATTTTTTAGGGTCTTCAAAACAATATGAAGCTTCATGATAGTAGCTGTGTATTCCTGGCAGCATAGTTCTGTAAATAAAGTACAACCAAACTTGTTTTGGAGCTGTTTTAATAATTAACGCATTGCATTGCATCTGTTTCATAAAACTAGCTAATATGCAAGTAAGCAATTTATATTGTCATTCTTATCATTTGAAATCCAGGGTTCCCCCCCTCAGGGTGATGCTGTAAGTTGTAAACATGTAAACAAAAAATGAAACCATTGACAGTTGTTTAGTAGCAAGAGTATTTTGCAGGATGCTGAACAGCAACCATAAAGCTGAATGACTCTGCAGTTTATTATTTAGTTTAAGGAATTTTGAGAACTGAGTGAATTCTAGTATGAGTGAAGATGATGTTCTTATAGGTAAATTGAGCCTCATGATTCAGTCAGTTTCTAACCCTAATCACTAAACTTCAGAGAGATAATAGGCTTTTTGCATTAGTTGATCACGTGATCGACTGTTTGTAAACACGAAAACAGTTGGCTTTCAGAAAATTGTGTTGGCAGGAACTGAAAGAGCAAATAAAAATTAGGTAACCTAAAAATTTTCAGCCGTATATCTCAAAGGTAGGGATCGCAACGGCCGCCGAAAATTAGAAGGATTTGTATGAGAAAAACAACTCTTGCCACCCAGTCACCCTTAACTGGTTTTCCATACAACCCCTTGTAAATTTGGAAATTTCAAAACTGTCGTAAAATATTTACTTAAGCATTATGGGGCTCAAATCTCCTTTTTATTCATAACAGGCAATTTGAGCCCTTAAATGCATAAGGGAAAGATCTAACGACAGCTTAAAAATGTCAAAATTAACAAGGATTTGTATTGAAAACCACTCAAGTGCAACTGGGTGGCAAGAATGGTTTTTCTCATACAAATCCTTCTAATTTTTGACGGCCATTGCAATGACGCCTTTTGAGATATATGGCTGAAAATTCACAGGTTACTTAATTTTAATATGCTTACTTTCATTTCCTGCTAACAAAATTTTCCAAAAGCAAACTGTTTTCATGTTGACAGAAAGTTGATCACGTGACTAGCTATTGCAAAAGGCCTATTGACATTTGGCAGCCATTAACCCTTTGAGTCCCAATGATGACCAACATCAATTTTCTCTTAACAATATCCATATGTTGCTAAGAGAACTGGTTATGAGAGTTAATAAAATGATCACTAAAAAGAAAATGCTTTGATCTGTTATTAAACTCTCCCAACTAATTCTTTAAAGAAATGTATGAAGATCAGTATAGCCGTGAGAGAATTTATAAGTGAATATTGGGGCTTACAGTTTAAAGGGTTAAGCATTTTGCAAAATATGCCTGTTGGCAGTTAATAATGTTTGTTAATTTCAGTCTTAATTGGGCTTCACAGATAATTTTCTTTTAGAAAGTTAGTAGCTTAAATATTTTCTGTTCTGTTAATTGTGTAAGAAATGTGGTGCCTTATGTTGGTTATAAGTATTTTTCATTTTTCCCCTTAGATCACTAACAGAT